CAAGTTGATAAAATAAATTTATAAACCTGTATTGTTCCATACACAGTGTGTGTTGAACCTAAAGCACTGTATTGAATGGTTTGATGCAGGTACATGTATTGTTGCACTCCTGAGATATACATTTATAATTTGTGTGTATAAAATAACCACGTGTTTCTAAGTGAGCCGTGATTATCTGCCCTTACCAAAAACTAGTATATGCACGTATCCTTTAAGTGTACTAATGTTAAACTAAGAATAATACTTCCAGTCTAAAATATACTAAAAGTCTAAGTATACTAAGTCTAGACTTCTGTTTAAACTTTTTGCCAAGATAAACCTAAGTTGTAGTACCCTGAAAGTATATTTTCACACAGACTGGCTTAACTGTTTTWAAATCCTTTGTCAGGTTTTGGAACAAATGCAACAAAGAAAACAGAAGAATTTAACGTCAGTGGTCTGTTTTTCTGCTCTGCATGAAGGTCAGAGGGAGTTTTCACTGGACTGGACCTGSTTAATGGAACCAAATCAAATAACATTTTCACATTTTTACTATAGTTTTTACTCAGCATWAAAAGTAGAGTAGAAATATAACTATAAGGGTATGTGGAATACACTGGAAAACGTACTTGTATGCTAAATCAGGTGTGTCCAAAGTGTGGCCCAGGGGCCATTTGTGGCCCCTGAACTGATTTTYTGTGGCCCCTGAAGAATCATACTAACTTGTTTACAAACTTGTCCCCCGGGGACAGGTGTAGATGGAGACTTTCTATGTTTAATTTGGGCAAAATGATCACAGACAAAGTAAAATATTCTTCCAATAAAAAGACTAATAATAACAACCAATTATTTGTCTTTAAATAACCAGGCTCTTAGCTTTTTCCACATCTATCTGGTGACTTCTACTCAAAAGCTGATTTTGTTACACTCCAATCTGCTTTTAATTAACTTATTAAATTTGTCTGAATACAACAAGCTTTTTCAACAAAAGAGTGACCAAAATCCTGATTTTATTGATCAGAATTGACTAAATTGGGTTCTTTATTCCCCAATTAAAACCTAGAAAATTGCAAAATTTCTTTCAATAATGGGAAACCTGCAAAACACTTTTAAAGTTCTGGATTTAGATTAATTTARATCCATTRCCAGCAATAAATCTGACTACTTTATTTGTTTAATTAAAGTATTCAGTGCTTAGTTTATTGTTGAGCAGGTAAAGGAAAAATATTTTTGGCCCTCAGGTCCTTCTGACTTTATGATTTTGTCCCACGTGACAAATGTTTGGACAGCCCTGTGRTAAATAGTGAACTAGAAATGTATTGTTAGTGAACAAACAGCAAACCTAAAACATTACTTTGAATATACTTAAAAGTGCACTTCTATAAACTAATAAAAATGGCAGTAGAAGTTTCCTGCTAGTAAACTAATAGTATATCTAGAACAGGGGTCTGCAACAAGTAGCTCCTGAGCTCATTGAAAGTAGCTCTTTAATGCTTGTGAAATATTACAAGTAGCAACTTTTGATTTGTCACCAGACAAAATGAAGCAACATGCAGCGTTCGTGGGAGTGTTTGTTCATTATCCTTATTAGTGTTAGTTATCAGACATGAATGTCCTAAAATCAAAGTTCAGAACAAGACTGACAGATGAACATTTAAATGACTCAATAAGAGTGAAGCTCAGTCCATCGTTCAGCTCTTGTTGGTTCCACACAGTGTCAGTCATCTCACTAAATAAAAATGAAAAGACACTGAGGAAAAACAAACAGGAAACGTGCAAAAACAGGATGACTAATGAAGAAGAAATACTTACATTGTTTTGAATGTTTTAACTTTAATGTCTTAACTTTGAAAGTTTTTAGTACTGACTTGTGAGGAAAATACATTAAATTGAACCCTAAGTTAAGTATGTGAAATACGCTATAATATTAACAGATAAACACAAAAACATATTCATGTAAATTCAGAGTTATTTGTGATGGTTTCATGTGAATTGAAAAGTTTTTAGTGTATATTCAAGCAAAACAAGCTTTTTCTAATGTTTTGAGTTTAAGTTTAAAWTTTAATTTCGCATAAAGAAGCTCTTGGCCAATTTCATTTTGTGAAAGTAGCTCTGAAGGAAAAAAAGATTGGAGACTCCTGATCTAGAAGATCACTTTCAGTATACATTCAAGTATACTTTGATGAAGTCAAATTATACTTAAAAGTTCAACATAAGTAAACTAATAGCATACATAAAAGATTACTTTTAGTATACTTCTGAGTTTATTTTTATGAACTTAAAGTTGGCAAATTTAGTCCCAAGAAGTATACTTGTTAGTAAACTGCTAGTATAATTATATCAATGTACTTTGTAAACAACAGTACACTTAAGGAAATACACTTTTACACACTTTGGTGTACTTAAAGTATACTTGTTTTTGGTAAGGGTGTGACTGATATATCAGTTAACTGTACCCATCCAAACCATTTGTACCAGACCATATTAGAACCAGTAAGTGTTCTGTTKCACCCATGATCACTGGTTTATCAGCAGTACCTTGGAGTTGCAGGCATCCCTTTATTCCTGGCTCTTTCACTCTCCCCCATTTTGTCCATCCAAGTGCCGCAATTAAAGCGGTTTCCTCCAGTAACAAAACCTGTGGCTGGGTCCACTTTAGCAACTACATTAAATCCTGCAGAGAAAAGGTGGATCTTAACTAAAGAGCTGTCATTACAACCGTGCTGCAAATCTACAATAACTCTTTAGTTAAATGAGTTACTWTMACATCTAATTTCCCTCTGGGATCAATAAAGTATTTTTGAATTGAACTGAACACAGAGTCCCTGTAGATAAGACCTCTAAACATAATGAACTGAATCTGAAAGGTGAAGCTAATGCAGCAACAACAGGTAAAAACATTTGGTCAAATGTTTAATGAGTTTTCATGAGTTTTGGCACTAGATGACACTAACTTATCAAATTATTGGTCACATTTAGAATAAAACCCATGAAATTCCAACAGCATTTAGGCGCCATTTTGCAGTTAAAAATAAAGGATGAGAACATTTCTAACAATAAATAAATAAATAAATAAAT